TAGAATACAAGGACGACATGAGCATGATTGAACACCTCAACACCTATAAAGGTATTGTGAATCAGCTGTCAAAGGCTGATATGAAAATTGATGACGAGATGCAGGCATTGCTGCTGTTGAGCTCGGTGCCAGAAAGCTAGGATACTCTGGTGGTGACCTTGAATAATTCGACTCCAGATGGAAAATTGAAGATGGATGTCGTGACAGACAGCCTCCTGGGCGAAGAAGCCAGGAGAAAAGAACGAGGTATTTCGAGCACGTCTGAGGCCAACATTGCAGAGAACAAACGGAAATCTGACTCCTGGGGTAGAAGCAAGAGCCGGGGTCGAGATCATGATAGAAGAGGAAAGTCCAGAGGTCGGTCAAAGCCGAGATATGAGTTGAAGTGTTTTACTGTGGAAAAACAGGTCATAAGAAGTCGGACTGCTGGACCCTTGAGAATGACGAGAAGAACGGCTCTGTGAAGCCAGATCAGATTGTTCCCAAGAAGAGGGAAGACAAGAGCACCACTGCTGTGGCTGCCAACTCGGATGCCGAGATATTCCTCCTAGGTGAGGATAATTATTTGAATGTTGCATATGATGACTGCACTTGGATTGTTGACTCTGGTGCCTCCTTCCACGTTACTCTACACAAAGGTTTCTTCTCCTCTTACCGAGGTGGTGATTTTGGAGTTGTGAAGATGGGAAATCAAGTGACCAGCAAGATTGTTGGTGTCGCTGATGTAACTCTGACCACGGATGTCGGATGCCGACTTGTGTTGAAATATGTAAGGCATGTTCCTGACATGCGTTTGAACCTAATCTCGGTAGGCAAGCTTGACGATGCCAGGTTAGTGAACTACTTCGGTAGTGTTAGATGGAAACTGGTCAAGGGAAACTTGGTCGTGGCCCGAGGTAAGAAAGAAGGCTCCTTGTACGTGATGCAAGGAAAGATCAATGGCAGAGAAGCCAATTCTGTTCGAGATGAACCTAGCTTGGAGCTATGGCACAAGCGCCTCGGCCACATGAGCGTGAAAGGGCTTCAGATCCTAAACAAGAAAGGATTACTGACCGGGTTGAAAGGCCAAGCGTTGGAGAGTTTCACGCACTGCCTAGCTGGATAGCAGCACCAGGTTTCTTTTGTGAGACCGGATCAACCTAGAAGACGCAGGTATATTCTTGACCTTGTCCATACTGATGTCTGCTCCATGTCGGAAAGATCCCTTGGAGGAGCTCAGTACTTAGTTTCATTTATTGATGATCATTCCCGCAAAGTGTGGGTATATTTGTTGAAGTCTAAAGACCAGGTACTCCTTCAACCTCTCACCATCACGGCCACTTGAAGGAGAAATTCCAGAAGAAGTCTGGACAGGTCGAAAAGTGGCCTACAATCAACTGAAGGTGTTTGGATGCCGAGCTTTCTTGCATATCCCTAAAGATGAAAGGGCTAAACTCGATGCGAAGACTAAATAATGCATCTATCTTGGTTCGCTGAGATGTGAGTTCGAGTTCTGACTTTGGAATCCAATTAATAAGAAGATAGTGAGAAGCCGAGATGTGATCTTTCATAAAGATGAGAACATTCATGACATCTCGAAACCCAAAGTCTGGGTTACTGTCAGACGTGAAAAACCCATTCCTCCTGTCCGTGTTGAAGCATGGGGAGAAAATGAAGAAAATGATGACCAGCAACAAGCTGAAGATGACCAAGACAATGAGGTCCGAGTTGATGATGAGATCCGGGATGAGAATGATGAACCGGGGTCTCATCCTGAAGAACAACCGAGATATCCAACTCGAGAAAGAAGACCCTCTACAAGATACCTATAACATCCCAAGCGCTGACAAGGGAGGGGAGTGATCGCCGGTGCGAAAGGGCATGGACAAGTAGCGGCTCTTGACAGGCTTCCAGCGGGGGGTTAAATGCATGAATGAATTGAATCGACACCCGAAATAGAGGGATTCTAAAGACTGTGCAGGTATGAGACTGCACAGTTTGGGATAGCTTATAAAAATTAATCGGTACTACCTATACTAACAAGATGCATCTACTTTTCGGTAGCCCATAACGGAAGAACTCCATAGTTAAGCGTGTTTGACTTGGAGCAATTATGGGATGGGTGACCTCCTGGGAAGTTTTCCCATGAAGTGTGCGAGTGAGGAAAAAATACACTAAAAAGTCTCGTGTTAGTATGTGGGGATAGTCATTGATTCTTGAAGCGGCCGGGCGTTACAAGTGGTATCAGAGCAGGGCCTCTCTTCCAGTACATTGTGGTTTGAGGATGAACCAGGCGAAAGCTGATGGGCATTAACATCCCAAGCGCTGACAAGGGCGGGGAGTGATCGCCGGTGCGAAAGAACATGGACAAGGAGCGGCTCTTGACAGGCTTCCAGTGGGGGGGTTAAATGCATGAATGAATCGAATCGACACCCGAAATAGAGGGATTCCAAAGACTGTGCAGGTATGAGACTACACAGTTTGGGATAGCTTATAAAAATTAATTGGTACTACCTATACTAACAAGATGCATCTACTTTTCGGTAGCCCATGACGGAAGAACTCCATAATTAAGCGTACTTGACTTGGAGCAATTCTGGGATGGGTGACCTCCTGGGAAGTTTTCCCATGAAGTGTGCGAGTGAGGAAAAAATACACTGAAAAGTCTCGTGTTAATATGTGGGGATAGCCATTGATTCTTGAAGCGGTCGGGCGTTACAATACCCATCTGATGAATACATCATTATTGTTGAAGACGGTGAGCCTCAGAGTTATGATGAGGCTGTGACGAGCTCAAAGAAAGTAGAATGGGAAAATACAATGCAAGACGAGATGAAGTCTCTGCACGAGAATCGGACTTATGAGCTGACCGAGTTGCCTGAAAGAAGACGAGCTTTGAAAAATAAATGGGTCTACAAGATTAAGAACGAAGAGAACGGGCAGAAGCCGAGATACAAAGCCCGGATTGTAGTGAAAGGCTGCAATCAAAAGAAAAGAGTAGACTTTGAGGAGATCTTTTCTCCTGTGGTGAAAATGACCTCAGTCCGAACTGTGTTAGCCATGGCGGCTTCAATGGACCTCGAGGTAGAACAAATGGACGTGAAGACGACATTTCTTCACTGTGACTTAGAAGAAGAAATTTATATGGAGCAACCTAAAGGATTCCGAGCTCCAGACCAAGAAGACTTGGTATGTCAGTTGAAGAAGAGCCTCTATGGCTTGAAGCAAGCACCTCGGCAGTGGTACAAGAAATTTGAATCATTCATGACTGATCATAAGTTTGAGAAGACAGAAGCTGACCACTGCGTATTTGTGAAGAGGTATGAGGCCGGATATTTTTTGATATTGTTGTTATATGTTGACGACATGCTTATTGTAGGGAAAGACAAATCGAGGATAGCCACCTTGAAGAAAGCGTTGAGCTCGTCCTTCGCAATGAAGGACCTCGGCCCTGCAAAGCAGATCCTCGGAATCAAGATTATCCGAGATAGACAAAAGAAGCTACTGTGGCTAAGTAAAGAGAAGTATATTGAGAAGATTCTGAAGAGATTCAGCATGGACAAAGCCAAAACAGTGAGCACCCCTCTAACCGGACACATAAAGCTGACCAGAAGAAATGTCTGAGATCTGATGAAGACAAAGATGAGATGATGAAGGTCCCGTACCAATCCGCCGTCGGAAGCTTGATGTATGCAATGGTTTGCACTAGACCCGACTTGGCGTATGCTGTTGGAATGGTAAGCTGGTATCTGTCAAACCCCGACAAAGAGCACTGGGAAGCAGTGAAGTGGATCTTCAAGTACCTCCGAGGTACAACCGACTTATGTCTCCGATTTGGAGAAGGCAAAGCCGAGTTGCAAGGCTATTCAGATTCTGATTTAGGGGGAGATTCTGACTCGAGAAAGTCGATGACGGGATACATGATGAGATTTGCCAGAGGAGCTGTCTCTTGGCAATCAAGACTTCAGAAATGTGTTGCATTATCGACAACTGAGGCTGAGTACATTGTCGTTACTGAGGCAAGCAAAGAGATGTTGTGGATGAAGAAGTTCCTTATGGAACTCGGCCATGATTAAGACAAGTACGAGCTGGGTTGTGACAATCAAAGCGCAATTCGTCTTGCAAAGAATTCGACCTATCACTCTCGCACTAAGCACATTGATGTGAGGTATCACTGGATTCGAGATGTGGTGGAAGATGGAGAGCTCGAACTCGTCAAAGTGCACACTGACCATAATTGGTCCGACATGATGACGAAGCCGGTTCCAGTAAGGAAATTTGAAGACTGCTGTGAAGGAGCCGGGTTGATGCTGAAGCCGACACATTGAAGTCGGATGGGGAGATTTGTTGGGCGTCCTCCTTCAATGCTAAGCCCAAGCCCATTGAGGGGTTTCCTAAAACCCTAACGCTAAATTCCACCTCCTTTATAAATTCATTAGTTGTGGGCGGATGCTAGGTCAAGAGAGAATTAGAGAGATAATTATTTGATTGTTTGAGCAAAGCTTTATGCTTTGCATTTGAGAGATCTCTAGAGAGAGTTTGAGTGAAACATCTCTAAGGTAGTTTGATCATCACCATTGTTGGAGAGGTTGAGTTAACCACCACATTGGTGCATTTGATTCTTTGTAACCATTATTTTCATAGTGGATTTTTGATCTGGACTAGGTCCCGTGGATTTTTACTTCTTCATTGAAGAAGGTTTTCACACATTAAAATCTAGTTGTGTTCGTTGCGTGATTTTTCGTTTTTTCTTTTTCCGCTGCGCTGCCCGATCTGGTGAAGTTCAGGTCGAGATCCGAGATCAAGATCTTGCTGACTAACTTTCGCGAAGAAAGGCCTCTGAGCCAAGCTTGAGGGAATCGATATTTCCCAACAAGATGATGATGTTATATCTCATACTAGAACAATATTTTATTTTGACAATATTTTAAGACCTAAATCTTATTTCAATATTTATTTTGACAATATTTTATTTTATTACAAGACCATAACAGGTGAGGTGGGTCTGCAAATGGACACAATTCAGGTTGCTAAAGTGGTTTTCTCACAACCATCGTGCACACAGGCCAAAACATCTCTGTAGTCCCTTGAAATGGTAAAGGAGTCGTAGACCTTTCCATCACTACTTTTCTTGTACTCAAACAGAAGATATGAGTGATTGAATGCTGTGAGTTTTCCAAACCCAAAGTCGCGGTCCCTATAAAGACTCCAAACTGGGGGTACAGTGGCAAAATCTGACAAGTGACTTCCCGCTCCACCAACAACAACATGAATTGTTCCATTCACTGTGCCAGAGTAATGAGTTGTCTCTTTATTCACACATTGATTCTGTATCACATGCATTTAGATAATTAGAAACGGGTGTGGGTCCATTTACAATGAAAAAACTTCTATAATGCAACTTGGGATGAATTTAAATGAGACCAAGGTATATCTACTTATCTAGCCATCGTGTATAAATATATATACCTGATAAATGGGGCATATTCTTTCGTAGTTATGGACGTGACCATAAAATGCAATGTCTACTTTGTATTTCTGCCAAAGCCTCTGCAAACTTTCCCTTCCCATGGGCTCTTCAAATGATCCCTCCAAGCCATACCAACTATTAGATGAGTACCCAAGTGGACGATGTGCTGAAAAGATTAGCCATGGTTGTTGCTTTCTATCGACTGTTGCAAGGCAATGCTCAATGAATTTGTATTGTTCTGATCCTTCTCTCCAGTCATGCTCACTGTCTGCTATGCAGAAACGAAACATTCCATAATCTGTTGCATACCTGCATGTTTTCAATTTTCATTATTCGTTTGAAACGAAAAGACAGTGCATCCGAATTGTTACTGGCGAAACTAGAAACTGCAGCATGAACTGTAAGGATGAAAAGATACTTTTTGCATATGTATGATGAAATTATAACAAGAATGAATAGTTAACAATTGGTCAAGGTAATATTCACCATCTTGGACAAATTAGCATGATAAATTTAATTTAGAGAAGATAATTTTATTTACTAAATCCAAACGTATCATAGTTTGCATTTAGATTGATGTAACTTACCAGAATTTGGCTCTGTTCTCAGCAGGAAAATAGTACATGGTCTCTGCAAGAACTCCACATTCTCCACCTGAATCCGGGGTATCATAAAAGGATCCGGTGTTTGGCCAATCACGTTCATGATTTCCACTGCAGTATGAATAAACGGGATATTCTTCAGTCTAACAAGAATATGTCAGATTTGATCTAAATGTCAATGGCAAAAATGATTGCAAACAAACTAACCTTGCAATCATATATGGCACAGTTGACGAAATTTGTTGCACTTGAGCTGTGAATTGGTCCCACTGTGAGATATATCCATTTGCATAAGGAAGATCTCCTATGTGGAAAACAATGTCAAAATTATCTAAATCCTTGATGAGCTGGTCGGTGGTGTTAAGTGAACCAGGTTGATAATCAGCATATTCGTTTGAACCATCACGCTCAGCCTATAAAAGACATGCGAATAAAAATAAATATTTTCTCCATTATATTACTCATGCTTAAAAATATAGTTTTAATTCAAAAGTAATGGTCCATAGTTATTCCATTCTAATTGGGAGTTTGATCATTCTTTCCACCATTATAAAAATTTCAATAATGAATAGTACCTTCCCCATGTCACCAAATATGATAACACGTTGCAATGAGTTCTGTCCAGGATATGGGGATGCCTTGAATGAATACTTCTTACTCCACACGTAAGAACCATTAGACAGAATATGCCCCAACCTGTAAGTGTACCTGATTTTTTGTTTTATACGGGGGAAAAAACATGTAAGACTTTAGAACAAACTGTACCAACTCAGCTTAATGTCATAAACACAAAAAGATATATAAAAATATGGTCAGGATATTCTTACACCGGTGTAAGTATACCGGTGTAAGAGTTAGAAATCTTACATTCAATCTTGACCATTGATCCATTTGTATCCAATGGCTCACATTACTAAAAAATTAGAGCTCTTAGATATAAGTAGGATCAACAGACAATATTGAGACTGTAACTTAGACCGTGTAAAATGAGCCTGGCCCTAAAAACATACCTCAAATTTGGCCACAGTTCCTTAAGGAAACTTGTGTGTATAAAACCAGGGTCACGCCAGCCAACAGTTCGTGCGGGTTCACCTGCAGAGTAGCAATTCATAGTTGAGTTTCTATTCTGGTTTAGTCAAGCACTTTATCATGACATAGTTGAGTTTCCAATTCATAGTTGACTATGTAATAGAGAAGCCAGTGTGGTTTAGTCCAAAGCTCATACCACACATGCTGTTACGACTAAATGTCAATGTTCCTGCAGGAGATCGTGTCTGCCTTTCTCCCTTAAGACCCCATTCAACAAACGGTACAGCTTCATTTATGTCATATCCACTTGTCCATGTAACTGTCATCTGTAATACATAAAAATTCTCTTCACATAGTTCTGCATGTTTAAGTTAGACAATTCATGCAGCAATTTTCATCACAACAATTTGGGGATGGGTAGTAGAAGTTAAAACCTTAGCATGAATTCCAACTGTATCATGTCAGTAAATCCAAAAGTAGATAAACTTACTTCATCCCAAGACTTTCCTAGAGCAAGGCGCGGATACACAGGTGCTTTAGGATTTGCAAATGAAATGAAATTGGAAACTGCCACAAGTTTAGGCTGCAATGCTCAATCAGATGAATACTTGTTACCATAAGATTAAATACCATTTCATACTAAAAACATAGAACATTGGCATGGTATAGTTGATTAGTTAGAAAAGTTGGAGATATCAAACATAAACTCAGAAGGTATGACTTACATTTGATAATCCGCCAGAAAATAGTGCAAAGGAGAAATCTGCACGTTGATTGATCAACTGGAACTTCAAAGTAGCTTTTCCAGTCTTTGTATAGTTTGCACTGGAGTGGTTCGCATACTTGTACTGTTACAAACATTCAAATCATTACTATGAGAAATTCGCTCGTGATGTTGTTCATCCATTCACAAGTTAACTCCATAGAGTTGCATTCACCTTTATTGGGGATGAGCATATATATGGAACCTCTACATAGCCAACGCCGCCGTTGGATGGACATGTTGATGAACTGTGATGTACAAAATATTATTCCATTTAGTTTGTTTCAACAATAGTGAGATGTTCATAGTTTAATGCCATGGCCATATAATGTGTTCCATACCACCATGAACAAGATTTATATTAGCTGTGAAAATTTAAGTTGGTGGGATGAGTGTCCCCTTATTATGGGCTGATCTAGTGAGTCTACTGAGTTCAATATTTTATGTAAATGGATGCTATTATGTCTTATTTACCGTTAATTTATCAATGAATGATTAATTTTTTTTTTTATCGTGGCATAATCATATTAAAATGAAGGGTTTATTTTTTATAAAATTACTTTAGATAACTTTATCTAATGTTCACCAAAGCGACATCATTTTGGGGCGAAAATCATGACATTTTTTGTAATTTTAATTTATTTCAGGATTATAATAGTCTTTATCATTCTAATTTTTTTATTTTCCAATCCCAAAATGACGTCGTTTCAATGAAACATAAGAGAATGCATTCTCATTTTATATGATTTGTATTAAATGTCTATATTCGTCTTGAGAAAGAGAGATGCACATTACTTGAAATTTGCTGGAGAGAAAACTCCCACCCAGTCATCTTTGGATGGTTCTGGGGACTCTAGTTCTACAGTCACCCATTCGGTATCCTCGCCCTGCAACCATATATGTAAAAGCACAACTGTGAATTCTATAAATTAAATACTTTTAAGGCTAAAGCATACAGCATGGTATGTGTGGTTGTTTAATTGTGACAAACCAACATGACTTAGAATTTCAAAATAGACCAAGCTGCTCTGTACGATGTGTCAGATTAGTAAACTTCAGAAATATTTGGTTTGATTTGATTTAGAAATAGAATTTTTGTTTGGAACTCATTACAAAAAAATAAGATTTTGATTGATTTGCAAAATCATGATAAACTAAATTAATTTAGTGTTAGTTAAAAAATGTTAATTTTATTAATTAAAACTAAAATCAAATAAAATTCATACAAATTTTTGTGGTTTTCTATTTTTATACAAATAAAATAAAAAGATATAATTCCAAATCAAATATTTTTTATTTTTTGAAGTTTCAAATAAAGACTTTGAACCAAATCAACTCTTAAAATATATCATTCCAAATACAATAAAATTAATTTTATTTTGTTAGAACATTTATTTATAAGACTAATATTTTCATCTCAAGTGATTTTTTAGATTTAGTGCCTATTTTGCATATTTTATTTTTAGTTTCTCTTTTTCTTAAAGGAAGAAATTTAGTTAAACATAATTTTACAAAATTTCCTAGAAGGAGTTTTTTTTAAGATGTATGTCAGTTACTTGGAATCTTCATTTTATTTTTTAGTTTTATCCTTATTCTATTGACATATGATAAAAAAAATAAAAATAAAAAAAAAAAACAGGTGATAGTGTTAATTTTCAAAAATCTTTCTAATATGATAATACATAATTTGAAATGACAGTAGATTAAAATTTAATTCATAAACAGTTACCTGCTACTGCAAACGATTTTTTGATCAATCATATATATTTTCGTGCTATAATAAACACTAATTTGCAGGCATCTGATTAGTGCGATCGATTGCGATCAACTACTGAGAAAGTAAACTACAGTAGAGACATTGAGACATATATACACTAAAAACTAAGGAAATTACAATAAAATAATAGGTATTATAGTCCTTGGTATCTTTTTTTTTTTCATTACATGCTTTCTGCATAATAAATTAAGACTAGATAGTAAAATCAAAGAGTAAGACTGTAAGAGTCTATTTTGATGAAATTGTTTTAAGAAATTATTATTTTTTAAATAAAAATTCACTTTATATATGTATTTGGATGCAACTTTAAAAATAAAAAATAAAAAAATTTAAGACTATATTCCTTCCTAACTTTTGAAAAAGCCACACATGGGGAAGAAGTTGTATGATACCTTATTGCCCAACAGAAAGGGTGCTGCTGTAATGGAGGCAGAACTATGGAGCGCAAGAATGGTCTTGTGAATGGCAATCTTGGACAGTGGCTGCTCTCCAAATCCATTCATGTCATTATGAGCCAAACCCATGCTCAATTTGGTGAACCACAATATGATCACCATTATCATATTTAGCTTCAACCATTTCCCAACACTCCTTTCCATTTTAATCTTTCCAGATGAATTTGACTTTTTTTTCCTCTCAGATCAAAGCAGGAAAAGCTTTCTCCGGTTAAGTAGAGTTTTCACTATTATTCTCTTTCTGGGTCTACTTCACATGGTGAGTGAGTGGTTGTGATGTTCATATTTTATAGGAGGGATGCGCACTCTAAATTATATTAATGGTGTGATCCAGAAGTTAAAAACAAGTCTTAGATTCAATTTTAATTATTGATCCCGTTCCATTTAACAATTCATACATTTTATAGAATAGAATAATTTAATATAAATATAAGGGACAACACCTGTTTATAAACTTTTTTTGCAATTACACTAATGTAGGACCAGTCGTACACTGTGTGATTAATGTAGGACCAGTCCTACATAATGTAGTTTGTAAATATAACCTGCCCCTAAATATAATTACTTGTTAAAATTGAAAGTGAAAAATACTAATATAAAATGATCTTTTCTTATATAAATTTATTGTTTGTCGTCGTCGCTCGCCTGCATTTATTTATAAAGCAAAGTACTCTTTTCATGTAACTATAGAGCGATCCTTAATTGTAAACCACTGTCGCCGCCGGCTGCTGCCACCGTGTAACACTTTATTTGTAATCGTTAGCCATGGAAATGGGGCTGTGAACCTTTTGATTGAATTTCCATGAAGTGAATTTTGGGTTGATGTTGACACCCTTATGTTGTCTTTCGGATAGAGAATAATTTTGTTTGTGACTATTGTACGAGTGCCTAGCCTAATTCAATGTAATTAGGCATTGAAAAACTTTGTTTTACATGTTCATATTGAGAATATGAACTATAAGAGAAATTGATGGCTCTTCAATTCCAAAATATAATACAGGTATATGAAAATTTTTATCTTCTAATTAAATTTATCATAATTAGCCTTGAAACCAACCTCCTTTAAAACAAAGTGAATATTCCAGAATTTTTTTTCTTAAAACAATTCAAAAACATAATACAAAAAGAGAAAAGAATTTCGTACAAGTAGATTTTTTTAAAGGCAACTATAAGAAAATATAGATATAGTAATCTAAATGCAACTATAAAAACAATTTTGTGTTAATAAATATAAAAATATGTTACATGCTGATATAAAATGCTGATAGTTAGAGATGAACTACTGAGCCAGGCCCGGAGGGCCAGCCCACCAAATTATTTTTATAATTAAATTAAAATTTCATTGTTATTCTTTTATAGTTAAATTCCTAAATCTGATTTCAATCAATGTAAATATAAATTTGTAAAATTCAAAATACTAAGGACACAAATCCTTGCAAAAAATTTATTATTTACATAAAATGTTGATAGTTAAAGGTTGCAAACTGGGCTTGGCTCGAAGGCCTGCCCGCCCCACCTACCAACAAGTTTTTATAATTAAATTAAAATTCCATTATTCTTCTTTTATAATTAAATTCCTAAATCTGATTTCAATTTTTGTAAATACAAATTTGTAAAATTTTAAATACTAACGACACAAATTCTTTCAAAAAAATAATTATTTCTTATTATTTTATAAATCTAATTATAATAAATGAAAGGTCATCTATGAGATAAAATATAAAAATCTAGATGCAACTATAAGAGCCTTTTTTATGGATAAATATAAAAATATATTACATGCTGATAGTTAAAGGTGGCAAACTGGGTTCGGCCTGGAGGGACGGCCTACTAACATTTTTTTATAATTAAATTAAAATTTCATCCTTCTTTTTTATAATTAAATTCATAAATTTGATTTTAATTTTTGTAAATACAAATTTGTAAAATCTCAAATACTACCGACACAAATTCTTACAAAAAATAAGTATTTATTATTATTTTTTAATTATGATTGTAATAAATGAAAGTTCATATTTGAGATAAAATATAAAAACCTAAATGCGCCTATAAGAATCTTTTTTTGTGGATAAATACAAAAACCTATTACATGCTGATACTTAGATGTGACAAACTGGGCTTGGCCTGGAGGGCCAGCCCACTAATATTTTTTTATAATTAAATTAAAATTTCATCTTTCTTTTTTATAATTAAATTCATAAATTTAATTTTCATTTTTGTAAATACAAATTTGTAAAATTCCAAATACTACCGACACAAATCCTTACAAAAAATAAGTATTTATTATTATTTTTTAATTGTGATTGTAATAAATGAAAGTTCATATTTGAGATAAAATATAAAAACCTAAATGCTCCTATAAGAATCTTTTTTTGTGGATAAATATAAAAACCTATTATATGATGATAGTTAGATGTGGCAAACTGAGCCTCAGCCCGGAGGGCCGGGCCACCAACATATTTTTATAATTAAATTAAAATTTCATCTTCTTCTTTTATAATTAAATTTTTAAATCTGATTTTAATTTTTATAAATATAAATTTGTAAAATTTCAAATGCTAAAGACACAAATCGTTACAAAAAATAATTATTTATTATTATTTTGTGAATCTTTTGTAATAAATGAAAGTCCATCTTTGAGATAACATATAAAAATCTAAATGCAACTATAAGAACATTTTTTGTATGGATAAATATAAAAACCTTTTACATGCTGATAGTTAGAGGAGACAAACTGCGCTTGGCCCATAGGGCCGACCCACCAACTTATTTTTATAATTAAATTAAAATTTCATACTTCTTTTATAATTAAATTCCTAAATTTGAATTCAATTTTTGTAAATACAAATTTGTAAAATTCAAAATACTAAGGACACAAATTCTTGCAAAAAATAATTATTTATTATTATTTTATAAATTTGATTGTAATAAATGAATGTCCATCTCTGAGATAAAATATAAAAACTTAGAAGCAACTATTAGAATTTTTTTATGTGGATAAATATAAAGACGTATTACATGCTGGTATATAATGCTAACAATTGGAGGTTGAAAACTGGACTCGGTCCGAAGGACCGGCCCGCCAACATTTTTTTATAATTAAATTAAAATTTCGCCTTCTTCTTTTATAATTAAATTCCTAATTCTGATTTTAATTTTTGTAAATACGAATTTGAAAAATTCCAAATACCAACGACACAAATCTTTGCAAAAAAAAAAAAATTATGTATTATTATTTTGTAAATTTGATCTTTCTAAATGAAAGTTTATCTCTGGAAAATACTGAAAGAAGCCGAGTCAAACTTTGTAATTTTTGAAGGGATATGTTATTCTACCTACTATTTTTTCTGCCTACCTTTGCCTACCACTTTAAAATACCGTTAGATCAGAATCTTAAGGGGAGAGAGAAAGATAAAGATTAGTTAAGATTCTGATCTAACAGTATTTTAGAATGGTAGGCAAAGATAGACAGAAAAAATAGTAGCTAGAATAACCTATCCTATTTTTGAATGACCACATGATAAGGTAAAATGCAGCAATATACTTTTATGCGTTGCGTTAATTTTTACTATACAAACAAACTGATTTTTTTTTCTGTGCAACGCACGGTAATACACTAGTTTATTTATAAAGCAAAGTACTCTTTTCATGTAACTATAGAACGATGCTTAAGGGGGCGTTTGGTTGAGGAGAAATTTTTTGAATTTTAGGGAAATGTAATAGATAGGGAAATGATTGGAAAGTGAGATAAAGTGAGATAGGTATGAAAATGTAAAAAAAAAGTTGTTTGGTGGAGAAAAACTTTACTGGGAAAATTAGGTAACTTTTATGAAATCAATAGTGCATTACCCGGTTTTCCAAAAAAACCATCCTCAAATTTGGTTTCTAAACAGTACGGATATCTATCTTTCTCAACAAAAGTTGATAAAGCCATACAAATTGCATAGATGGGAATTTGGTGAAAATCTATTCAAACAAACATTGTGTTTCTAAGAACGATACTTGATTTTCCAAGGAATTTGTTGAAAAGAAGGGAACCAAACACCACCTAATTGTAAACCACTGTTAGCGCCGGCTGCTGCCACCGTGTAACACTTTATTTGTAATCGTTAGCCATGGAAATGGGGTTGTGAACCTTTTGATTGAATTTCCATGAAGTGAATTTTGGGTTGATGTTGACACCCTTATGTTGTCTTTTTTTTTGGGTACAGACCTTATGTTGTCTTTCGGATTGAGAATAACGATATTTTTATTTCAAAATTTCAAATGTTTAATTATTGGGATATCATCTTCTCACTCAATAGCAGAAGAGAGATTTCTGGTTGTCGAGACAAATTCCTACCGGTCCCCATTTATAAAACAAAACAAAAAAAACAAAAGGTTTGACACGTTTTTCCAAGAGTCAGCAATAAGTTTTTTCTTCTCCAATTACTGCAGAAGTAAATAAAACCCTTAATTATTATAACATTACTTTTCTTTTTTCTTTTTCGAGGTTTGGCACGTTTGACACATGAATGTTTCAAAAAAATATGTGTCAGTAGCGGACACCAACATGCTCCTGACACGTTCTGACACACGTTTGATATGCGATTAATATTTTGGGATACACAATCAACGCTTTGACACATTCGGACATACTTTTTCAACATACAGTCAACTTTTTTCGACATGCGGTCAATGTTCCAACATGCTTCAGACATTTTTTTTTTGTCTAAATTTTATTTTATCAACTAAACATAAAAAATAATTGGTAAATCAATTTTTTCTATTATGAAATATGACATAAAAAATTAATAAGGTACGGAAAATTATTTTTGTTTACATTTATGTTATGAAATTTGAATATTTGATTCTTTATATGACTTATTATGGGTTGTTATATGTATTAAATATAAATTATATTATATATATTAAAAATATTATTTAATATCAAAACGTGTCTCACTATTTCAAAATATGACTTTTTTAAAATTAATGAGTCGACATGTCGTGTCGTGTCTCGTGTCCCGTGTCAATATCGGTGCATCATAGCATAACACCCTACACTATACACTCACTCCACACCACTAGGCTAACCCTGGTGGTATTATAACATTACTTTAAAAGAGTATTATATCTTTTATGTTATGGTTGAGAAATAAAAT